GCCGGTCATCTACATCTCGGACCACATCGGAAAACATGTTGCCCGATCAAGATGCGGAGTTTTGTTCGAAACCGCCAGGAACAGTTCCTGTCGAACACGATACAGACGGGACGCGTTAACCAGATGAAGATCGAACTTCGGAGTTGGAACGGCTTCTGCGTACGCCTACGATTTGAGCATCGGAGTTCAGTGGCTGCAGCAACTTATGCGGACACGTGCATCAGTCTTGAGCGCAGCAGTGCAACGACAAATTGGGGTTACACCACGTATCGATTGACAAACTGTTACACACGTCGAAGCACCAACTGGCCCTAAAGACAATCGCTATACAGTTGATACAGCCAGTCTTCACTTCACTCGATCCTCAGCTGCGCTTGAAAAGCGTTGGAATCCGTTCGCTCCCCGCTCCACTCGCCTTCCGCCGCTCCCCCTCCCTCTTCTGCTCCTCTCTCCGCTATACTGTCTTCCCGCTTCCCCCCTCTTCTCCACCTGCCTCTGCCCCGATCCACCCCTGCTTAAGCTCCCACCTTTCTCTCTCCGTCTCCCTCTCCTCCGTGGTCGCTCTGGCTCAGGTCTCGGCCCGAGGGTCCCCGACCCGGTGCGCAGCCTCACCGCGAAGCCCCCAGCGCAGCTTTCCCCACGCATGGCAAGACTGGACACACCACAACTGGGACGTGACTGATTCGCGTCGCTTCCACATCCCCCGCGCGCGACGCCATGGCTCCCGAGGGCTCTCGCCGCGTGCGACATGAACCACCGCAGCTCAAACCACCAGGCGAGGGCCGCCAGGCCTCCCGTCCCGAGAGCCTCCTCGTGCGACAGGAGGCCTGCGCCGCTGCTCTACAAAGCGTTGGCGGCGCAGACCGGGCTGCTGCAGCCTACGACGAGCTTGTCCGACTGCACCTCTTCAATCTCGATGCTATCTACCACCAACACCGCGCCAACCAGCCCTGGCCCAAGCGCGAGCTCATGAAAACGTGCAAAGGTTTCATCAACATCACCTAAACAACGCTGCGTCTCGCCCCCACGCAGAATGCGGGTTCCAACCGTGACTCAGCAGGGCTCACGGCATCGGCCGATGCCCAACAAGGCATCGGCACCGCCCCACTCATCAGCCTTGATGCACAAAAATGTGATGTCCCCGTCGCCTTGGTGCCCACCAGGGCCGAGGAGGGCACAATACACACCAGTAGCATCTCGCTGCGTTCGCTAGAAGCAGGAGGCGGCCTCCTGCAGCAGGTTCGCCAGCAAGATAAGCCCCTCGCCCTAGCCGTCCTGGGACCGGACAGCACCGACTACCCAGGACAAGAACACCTCATCCCCTTGCTCCGTGGAACGGCTAAGGCTACCAAGACTACGCCAGGCCACATCCAGGGAACCGTGTATCAACTAGGCCGTACTGAGGTCAAATGCCAGCAGAAAATGGTCCATATCGCCACGCGCGCCGCCATGGCTCCCGAGGGCCCTCGCCGTGTGCGTCATGTACCACTGCAGCCTAAGCCACCAGGCAAGGGCCGCCAAGCCTCTCATCCCAAGAGCCCCCCTCGCGCAACGGGAGGCCTGCGTCGCTACTCTCCAAGCAGCGGCGGCGGCTAGGGTGGAGGTCACGCTGTGACCCACCAAGGCCCACGGACCCAGTCGACGCCCGCCCGCCAGGGCACCGAATCTGTTTTTTTCACTTGTCTTGGTGCTTCTAACTGCGATGTAGCCATCTCCCTGGAGTCCTGCAGGACCGAAGGTGGAGCTTCACATGCCGGTAGCACCATCACCATGTCCTCTGTTACCACGTCAGTACCTACGCAGTGCCAGCACCAGGGCTACTTGGACCAGAGGATCCGTAAGTTCTGCGCCCTTATCGAGCGTTTCCCCCTCGGCCATGTCGAATGCGAGATGCTCCTGGGCATCTACGAGGAGCTTGCCCAGGACGTGTTCAGCGGGCGCGAGCTTGGGCAAAGCTGAGCCGAATGCGGGTCAGAGGGTATGACAATGTGGGATCTGTGCGCCCTCATCGTCGCGGGAGGCCCTCACTCTGCCTTAGACGGCATTCTCCGAGAGCACGATCAGATACATGCTGCCCGGGTCGACGACGCGGAGGAGGCCTACCATGCGCAATCCTTCCTCGCTGCCGCCGCCGAGTACGACGCGTACACGTGCGACCTCGACTCCGCTTACGACCCCGGCGTCGCCCCCGCAACTCGCGTCGCCACGAGAGCTCTTGTGGGGCCTCGCCCGTCGATGTCATGACCCTGGCGCGCTCTGCCGACCCTCTTGTAGTGCAAGAGCCCACCTGGGCCAGCGCGTCGACTGAGGGCCCTCGGCAATCAGTCGCTTTCTTCCCGACAGTTGTTGCTGCGGGAGTGCGCGCCACTTAGCCAGCAGCCAGGATGCTGGCCCAGCCAGCGCCAGTCCCCACGGGCGCACCCACCAGGCTCCCTGCGCCGAGGGTGGAGCCAGCCTCAGTGACAACCGCGGCGCGGCGAACGGCGGCATCCGCACCGCCGCCCACGCTGTCGCTGCCCGCCTCCGCGACGGAACTCCTGCGAGCGGACGCCTCGGCTCACGAGTGGGGCCCTCGGGGCGGGGCGGACCTGCCAGGCAGCGTGCCAGGCAGCTCGGCGGCGCGGTCGACCGCCCTCGGGGCCGAGCCCGGGCCCGCCAGGGCCAGCGAGCGGCCCGCGAGGGCCGGCGCGCCGCCCGACATCACAGCCCTTGATCCGCGCCTCCGCGCACTCGGGAAGGCGCCCAGGTGGCGGTTATTCGCCAAGTTGAGAGCCCCATAGACGGCCTGCGCGGTGCGGTCATCGGCGGCACGGGGGACCAGAACCGGCACTGGGCGGTCCTGCTGACCCATGGCAGCGCTCCTCAGCTGCTCACGTCGAGCTGGGCTCCGCCCCCGTTGGGAGCCGGAGCCCCCCGAGGAGGCCGAGTGGGCAGGAGGTGATGCTGCGCCAGCGCCAGCGCCCAGGTCAACAGCGACGCCAGCCCCGTCGACCACGGGGCCCATGGCTGGACCAGCTCGCTCCTGAGCTCGCGAGGACGCCCGCGCCAGCTCCCGAGCTTGCGTCGTCGATGCTAGCCTTCGCGCTGGCGAGAACGGCGCCGACGGGGCTCGCGCACGGCCTGGGGCTTGGTTCGCAGCAGCGTGAGCGCCTTCGCAAGCTCCGCTCGGGCGCCGTCCAGCGCAAGCGCCGACGCAGAGCCCCCCCCGAGCTCCAAACCGACACGGCGTCGGAGGATGGCACCGATGAATCGCCGACCTGCGATGTAGACTCCCGCGCGGGCTGGATCCGCTACTCCCTCGGCCTCCGCCCTCCCTCCCTACGCAACTGCGTCAGGGGCGCCCGGATTGTTGATGGCGCAGAGGGTGTTATGCTGTGCTGCTTTGTTCTTCCTGCCGCCGTGGGGTGCTCGACGGTCTTTGCTTGCCTCGCGTCGTATGTTTCACTCGAACACTGAACGACGCTTCGCAGGGCCCCTCTCCAGTGGGCTGGGCCACGCCAACAGCGCCCTTCGTAGCGACGCCTCTAGGCTTGCCTTCCTGACCAGGGCGAGCACGGGCCTTGTCCTGCTGGCCCTCGGGGTCGCCTCAGCGCCCGTGCCGTCCTTGGTCGCGGCGCCAGCCGGCGTCTCGCTGGCACAGGCGCTGCGGGGCTAGCCCGCCAGGGCTCGCGGGCGCGGCGTCGGGCTGCGCACTTCGGAAGGCACAAACCACCGGGCGTCGCGCCGCGACGCGCGCGTGCACCGCGCTGGCACTCAGCCCAACGAACCTTGCCCCCCTGCGCTTCCCCGCGGCCCCCTCGGGGCCTTGCGCCCAGCCGCGTGAGCCACGTGAGTCACCAGGCCACGGGGGCCACCGGGCCACAGGGGGCCACTGGGCCAAGTGAGCCACCGGGCCAAGGGGGGCACCGGGCCCCAGGAGCCACCGGGCTGCGGGAGCCGCCAGGCCACGGGAGCCACCATGCCACGTAGGCCACCCGCCAGCCCACGAGACCACGCCACGAGGCACTCCACAGGCCACTCCGTGGAGCGCTCCACGGTGGGCAATCCACGGAGGACTCCGCGGGGCACTCCACTGCGATGGATGCCGCTGCCCCCCGCCCCCGTTGTCACAAGGCCGCTCCGCGCCCGCGCCGTGTCGCGCGCGCGGGCGCCGCCGACGCCCAGTTTGTCGGAGCTGGGCAGCGCCGCGGCGGCCATGCCGATCCTCTCGAACATCAGTGTGACATCCAGCCCTGCGAAGTTGAGCCGCCTCGCGGCGTCCACCAGGACGAAACAGCACCTGGCCGCGCGAGCCACGTGAGCCACCGGGCCACAGGGGCCGCCAGGCCACGAGAGCAACCTGGCCACGTGAACTACCAGACCACGGGAGCCGCCAGGCTAATGCTGCCGAATCTGCAGGCTGCCGATGGTTACCCCCCGACGGGCCACTGGGCCCAGCCCTCCGACCAAGGCGACTGACTATACGAGATCGCTGACCAGCCCCATGGTCAGGCAGTCCACGAGCCGTGCCGTGTGCCACGCCATGGGCCACCCCAGGTGCCCGCCCGCGAGGCCACTCCATGGGGCGCTCAGCCACCTCTCGAGCGCCTCTCACCAGGGGGGCCCTTGCGTCCACTTGACACAAGGCCGGGCGGTCGCACAATGGGTCGCGCCGTGGGCCACCAAGGCCGCTCCAGGGGGCGCTCCGTGGGCAGCCCCGCGAACCGCCACGTGGGCCGCCTCCCGAGCGCCTTTTGCCAGGGAGGCCCCAGCGTCTTCTCGACATGGGCTCGAGGGGTCCAGGCAACCAAGGCCCACGTGCTCCGTGTCAGGCAGCCAAGACACGACGGCCAGCCTCCGGAGCAGCCGCGCCAGGAGCGGTGCCATGTCTCACTGTGCGCGCCACTCCACGTGGCGCCGCAGAGGCCACTGCGCGGACCGCTCCACGTCCAGCGGCAGTGGCCACCTCCCATGCCATTGACTCCAAGCCACGGTCGTTTGTTTTCGCCACCCTACCACGATAGCCATACGCCAGGCATCAGCCACGGTACTAGCAGCTGCAACATTCACGACCCTACATCGTCAAGCGGCACGACGGGATCCAGCACCAGCAGCCTCACATCTACGAGCGAGACGAGCAGTGTAACGACCACCGCGTTGTTGAGCAGCACGTGTGAGGCCAGCACTCCGACTTCGAGCAATGCGACGGAGCCGAACACCACGACGTTGAGCAGCGCGCCAGGATACAGCACCAGCAGCCTCGCATCTGCGAGTGAAGCGAGCAGTGCAACGAGAACCTCGTCTTTGAGCAGCACGTTGGCGACCAGCACCTTGACGCTGAGCAGCGCGACGGTGTCGAACACCGCGGCGCCGCGCATCGCAACGGGATCCAGCACCAGCAGCCTCTCATCTACAAGAAAGGTGAGCAGTGCAACGCGCCCCTCGTCCTTAAACAGCACTTCGGGGGCCAGCACCTCGACGCTGAGCAGTGCGTCGGAGTCGATCACCACGACGTTGATCGCGTCTACGAGGCAGACGATCAGTGCAACGAGCACTGCGTCTTTGAGCAGCACGTCAGGGACCAGCACCTCGACACTGAGCAGCATGATGGAGTCGAACGCCACGACGTTGACCAGCATGACGGGACCCAGCACCAGCAGCGTCACATCCACGAGGGAGATGAACAGTGCTGCGAACGCGGCGCCTTTTAGCAGCACGTCCAAGACTTGCACCTCGACGCTGAGCAGAACGCAGGAGTCGAGCACCACGATGTTGATCAGCACGACGGGATCCAGCACCAGCAACCACTCATCTACGAGTGACGCGACCAGTGCAACGAGCACCACGCCTCTGACCAGCACGTCTTGGACCAGCACCGCGACGCTGAGCAAAACGACGGAATCGAGCACCACGACGTTGAGCAGCATGACGGGATCCAGCACCAGCAGCCTCACCTCTACCAGTGACACGAGCAATGCAACGAATACCACTTCTTTGAGCAGCAGGTCTGGAACTAACATCTCGACACTGAGCAGCACGAGGTAGACGATCACCAGTACGTTGAGTAGCAGCACTATGGGATGCATCGCCAGCAACCTCACATCTACGAGTGGGACGAGCAATGCAACCAGCACCGCTTCCTTGCGTCCAGGACCAGCACCCCGACAGTGAGCAGCACGACGGGGTCGAGCACCACGACGTTGAGCAGCACGACAGGACCCATCACCACTTTAACGAGCACCGCGTTTTTGAGCAGCATGTCTGGGACCAGCCCCTCGACACTGAGCAGCACGATAGCGTTGATCACCACAACGCTGAGCAACACGACGGGATCCAGCACCAGCAGCCTCACATCTACGAGGGAGACGAGCAGTGCAGCGAACACCACGACGTTGAGCAGCACGTCTGGGACCAGCACCTTGACACTGCGAGTGAGACGAGCAGTGCAACGAGCACCGCATGCTACGACGACGCGGACGAGCAATGTCCTAGTGGGCCAGTTCTGTCCCCCAATCCGCAGGGCTGGCCAGTGACGACGCCCATCCAGCCCCTCAGCGCAGCATTTCCTGCCACCAGGCCCACGCCCACCGCCCCACCAGGGAAAGGAAATTACGGGTCCCCGAACCACCCACCAGGGTGAAAAGACCCAGGCGACAGTAGCACAGCCCACCGATAAGAGACGTGCCCTCACGCAACGCCTCACCGTGGCCAGGCAACAGCCTGCCCGCGATCGTGAAACCCACGGGGGCCACCAGACTCAAGCTGCCGAGTGTCTGCAGGCTGTTGATGGTGAGCCCCAGACGGGCCACCAGGCGCAGCCCTCGGAGCGAACCAAGCGCCTCGTCCACACGCTACGATGACGCGGACGACAAAGGCCAGCACCAAAGACCCACCATGCACCAGGAGACGGCGCCCCGATGGAAGAGGGTCCATCAGGGCCCTACCACAGGCGCATACTTTAGCAGCACCATGTTTACCAGCCGCGGTGCGCCGCACGCGCCTAAACAAGGCAGGCAACATCACCAGGCGCCTGCGCACGCAAATGGCGGTGGGCGGCTTCCCGTTAGCGCGGGCGCACCCGCCCACCCTACCGTGGGTAGCGCCCCCCACACGCCCACCCGCCGCCTGGGAGAGGACCTCCGAGGGGTGGGCGAGGGGCCGCGGACTGCGGACCCTGACGGGCCAGCACCGTCGCCCCGACCCGCTCGGCTGGCCAATGCCTCGGCACACCCAGCTCCCAGCGCAAGATGTCCCGCCACCGCGCCACACCCCGCGAGGGAACGGGCGTGACGGCCCCCAGGCTCACCCACCAGGGTGAGGAGGATGACGCGACGGCACGGCGGCCTGCAGACTGGCGACGGGCCCTCACCCATGGCCCCGCCGCGGCCAGGCAAAGGCCTATTCGCGAGCGTGAGCCAGGCCTTCTTTCAAACACCGCGGCGCTGCAAGAATGCGCCACCACCCTCGCGCACACGCTGCGGAGCATCTAGGGATAGTCGAGACCTCTCGTCGACAGCTTCCACCGAGCGCAGTCCGCCTGGAGCGACCTCCAACAGGCCTTCCGCAAGCCTTGCGCTCCTGGGGCCACTCCCCAGGACACCATCCAAGCGCGACTCGACGCCCAAAGCTTGGGCACCAGCCGCTAGCCCGCTTGCACCTCATGCGCTGTGAGAATGCCTGGCAATCCGTTCCACGGCCTGCGCTTTAGGTCGCTGCGGTGGATGCCCCAACGCGGCGCCTTCCGCTTCTGCGGGCTCCGAAACGCGCGTGCCGAAGCGTGCAACAGGGTGGAATCTCTTCTCGGTCTCGGGGGTGCAGACGAGGTGTACGACACCCCGATCGCCACTCCCTGCCAACTTTTCCAGCCGGGGTCCTCTCGACCGCGCCAAGGGCTGGTCTCCCTCCCCCCCTCCCCCCTGGCCCCCCCCCCCCCTCTCCGTCCTCCCTGCGCCTGCGCGCCCGCCCCTGCCTGCCCCTCTCCCTCGCCTGGCCCCTCCCCCTCCCCCCTCCTCCTCGCCCTTCCCCCTCCCCCCTCTCGCTCTCCTCCCCCCTCGCTCCCCTCCGCTCCCCTCTTCCTCTTTACCCCTGGTCCTCCTCTCCTCTCCTCCGCCCTCGCTGCCCCCTCCTGCCCTCCCCACGCCCTCCCTCCTCTGCAGGCGGCGCCGCATCCTCATGGACGGCCTGGCGAGACCTGGCGCCGTCTTGGCCTCGGTGTCGCCAGTGCCGGATCGCCGCGCCGCGCCCGCACCGGCTGCCCCTCGAGGCGACTCGCGATCGCGGAGGACGGGCAATGCAACCTCAATCGAACTGCGGTCAGGAACTCTTGGTCAGCGCGTAGCGGCGGTGGCCCTGGCGGAATCCCTTGCGAGCAGATGCAGTCATCGTGCTACCATCAGGAGCGCACCAGAGGGAACGGAGGGGCTTTTCTGGCAACGGCAGGCCTAGGCCACGAGCAGGTTCCACTACAGAAGTCAAGGGAACGGCCCGAAAACCCGAGCCCACCCTGAGATAAAAAGAGACCCTTACTTCAGCGTCTTGACTGTCATGTGTCGCTCCGCTCTGCGGGTCGGGACGTTGAGGCTTGGGGACCTGGGCGTGGATAGCGTGCCGCGCCGCAGCGTGGTGGACCAGAACTGGCGGCGCGACACGCAAAGCCAAAATTCCTGATCGTAAGGCAATCAAGCCGGACGATCAAAGCACGCCGCTGCAATGTGTTGTCAATTTCGGGGGTAACATGTCGTCCCTTGCCTGATTCCTCCCGAGCCGAACCGACTAAGTACTCACGATGTGCACGCAGCAGAGGGGTATGAGTATGAGAGGATTGCCCCGACACGTGCGCAAGATCGCCTGAGACGGACAGGCATCGCAAGCTGCGGTGGCCAGCGCCTCCGAGTGGCGCCGAGTCCAGCTGTGGAATGAGAGCGGCACAAACATCAACCTTCGGAGGTCCGCGTGGACTTTTTGGATCGGCGCTGGGCCCCCCTGGCGGGACCCCGGGCGCCGCCACTGGCTCCCCTTGCGCTGCCAAGGGGGTCCAGCGCCGATCCAGGAAATCCGCGCGGACCTCCGAAAATTGATGTTTAGGCTTTTTTTTTGGTTGAAAAGAACAACTATCGTGTTAGGAGGGGGGGTTGGGAGGATGAAGGGTATGAGCAATAGCATCCGGATGCAATGAACGATACCTTCGGCCGCCTATGAGTAAGGATATCCTCATTTCTCCCAGCCCCATCCTCCCAACCCGATAACTGTCTTCCTGATTTTTCTTCTTCGATCTAGGTCACCCAACTTCGTGCTTCTCGCTGCGCGAATCGCGCTCAGTTTCGCGCACCCGCGCCACCTCCCAGCAAGGACAGCCCTGTGGTCCAGACGGCGAAGTATGAAACTAATTGCAGTAGGAGCTCGACCACAAGAAACCTCCCACAAGAAACCCAACCCTGAGACCTCAGGACGTCCATGACCTTTCCGTGTGGACACGTCACGTTTTTGATGGTAAAATTATTGAGATCGAAGAAACTCAGGAAATTTAAAAAATTATTGAGTTTTAAGAAACTCAGGATATTTTGGAGGTAAGCAGGGTGTTTCTTGGCATGGGCTTCCACTGTAGGTGACCAGACCAACAAGCTCCGTGCGTCGCGCTGCGCGGGGCGCGCTCAGCTCCGCGCCCCCCTTCGCCGCCTCCTGGACGAGAGCAGCCCTCCGGGCCGGGCGCTGGTTGGCGGCGCGCACAAGGGGGTGGGGGGAGGGGGGAGGGCTTCTTAGAAGCAGGCTGCTTCGTAGAAGGCGCCGGCCTTACACCTATAGATCAGGCCCGCGCCTTCTAAGGAGCAGGGGTGCTTCTAAGAAGCCCTCCCCCCTCCCCCCACCCCCCTCTGCGCGTGGCTGAGCTGGAGCGCCCTTCTGCTCGCGCCCCCGCGAGGGACCCCGCGGCTCGTGCGCCGCGCAACCTCGGACCACGGAACCCTCACGGCATGCCCGCGGCCCGTGTGCTGCCACGGCCCGCGCCACGAGACGACGAGCCGAGTCCTGCGGCCGGCGACGCTCGGCACGCACGGGGCCCGGCGCGAGAGCCCCGCGGGGGGGGGGGGAGCGACGGCGGGGGCCGGCCGGACCTCACCAGACATGCCCGCGCACGGATCTCGGCCTTCCTTCTGCTGGCGCTGCAGCTTTTCTCTCCATCTCTGTTCGGTTCGCGGGGCTGGAGGCCCGTGCAGAGTCAGCTGCACCTATATCCCATCACTGCGCCTCTCCCCGCCCCCCTTTTCAAACTTACTTTTTGCTGTTTTTGTTTTTCTGTTTCTTCTATTTTTCCCCTGGCCTCCCATAAGTTACAGTTTCGCAGCCCGACCTGGGCCCTCGCGCGAGGAGCGATCGCAAGAGCCGCGACAAAGAAAACGGTATCCCATCACTGCGGCGCGCAGATCTCTCGCACCCCTGATTGCGCCAGAAACCTCAGCTCAAACGCCCGGTTGGGTCGGCTATCCTCCCCTTGCTGCTCCTTCTCCTCCTCAACACAACCCTCTCATCTTCGTACTCCTCCCCTGAGATCCGATACCGCGGACAAATTGCAGCTTCGCGGGAAAACGCAACTGGAGCCTTGAACCCGATCTGCCTGCGGCAATTTTCGAGCCGGGTCGATCTGCGAGGGTCCCGGAGCCCGAGCCAGGGCAACATCGCCCGCTGTGCAACAAATTGCAACGTCAAGATCTCAGGGTATCTCCTGTCGCCTCCCTCCTCTCTTTTGGCGTGGAGGAAGCCGGTGTGAGTCTTGCGCCGCCCCCGCGAGTGCTGAGCGCCCAGCCCGCATCGGGCACGCGGCCTCGTGCCTCCGGACCCACCGCCACGTGAGGTTGATGCGCGGGGATAAGACGTTCGACTCGGGCATGACCTCGCCAGTGGGGCAGGGTCAGTCAACAACGAATCGGAAATCCAAACATGCTCGCGTCGTGAAAAATTCACAACTGGAAATGTTTGGCCGTTTTGGGCCTCTGGGGGCCCTCGCCGGGCCCCAAGGCCGTCAAGAAATGGCTGTTGATGAAAAGCCGGCCCTGTGGGAAGGGTCGGGACTTCTAGGGGCCCCGTATGGAAGAAATCAAGACATCGCATGTCTGGGATCGTAAAGTCGGATCGGATTGGAATGCGCGCCAGATCAAAAGCCAGAGTCGGATGGGGTCGGTTGCGCGAGGCCGCGCAACGACGGCGTGCAAACGTCGGTCCGCATCGGATCGCTGGAGTCCCGGAGATCGAGCCGGATCGGGCTGGTCACACTCGATCTCGGATCGGACCGGAGTGGGCCCCGCGAGGGCGGGACTGGCGGCGGCGGCGGGCGATGCTGTGGGCCACGACGACGGCGCCCAGGCCGGCTGCGGCGAGAGCGACGAGGCGGCGGCGGCGACGACGGCGGCGGCATCGACGGCACCCGCGGCGACTGCTGCGCGCACCTTCCGCCCCGCGCAGACCTTCGGCGCCATCGGGGAGATCGAGGCGGGCGAGTCCCAGGACCCCCCAGGGCCCTGAGAGAGGCCCGCTTCGGGTCCCAGGCCTTCTGTGAGCTCTGGGCGCTGCCCTCCTGTCACAACGGGTAACTACTTGCGCCGAATTTCGGGCTCCAGCAACCTCACATGAGCGGCGAAAACAGACGGGTCTCACGCGAGATGACATCGCGACTTTACGCGGGGGCTTGCGCGGGCCGCCAGCGTGGCACGCTGCATTGGAGACGAAGGCGCTGACGCGCGACCTCGCGCGGGCAGCTTGCGCGCGGATGTCGGCGCCATCGGACTCGTTTTCTGTGCGTCGCTCACACATCGACCTGGCCCGAGAAGGGCCGCAAAGAGATGGGGCCCAGGGCTCTTTTTTTTTTTTCTTTCTTTTCTCCCTCCCCCTTATATATATATATATATATGTATACATATGTATGTACAAAAATTAGCCAGGCGAAGTACCCAACCATATGCAGTTGTGAATGCCGCAATTGTGCTGGGTGGTGGCGGACGCATGCGGGCGGTGCCACTGGGACCTTCGGTGGAGCCCTATGGGGCCACGAAACGCTGTACTGGGTGGGTGAGACGCGGTCAGCAAGGGCTGTGCTGCGTGGTGGCGGACGCATGCGAGCGGTGCCACTGGGACCTTCGGTGGAGCTCCCTATGGGGCCACGAAACGCTGTACTGGGTGGGTGAAACGCAGGCAGGGAGCAAGGGCTGTGCAGGGTGGTGGCGGACGCATGCGGGCGGTGCCGCTGGGACCTTTGGTGGAGCTCCCTATAGGGCTACGAAGCGCTGTTCTGGGTGGGTGAAGCGCAGGGAACAAGGGCTGTGCTGGGTGGTGGCGGACGCAAGCGGGCAGTGCCACTGGGACCTTTGGTGGAGCCCCCTATGGGGCCACGAAACGTGCGAGGGGTGTGCCAGAATGGGGTGTGGAACCGCATGCCAGCGCAGCCACTGGGGCCTTCGGTGGAGCTCCCTATGGAGCCACGAACGTGTGAGGGGTGTGCCGAAATGGGGGGTGGAACCGCATGCGAGCGCAGC